TCCTTCTCCAATGCATGCATGCATGCTACATCGCCTCAGTCGTGTCCAACTCTGTGAGACCCTATGGACAGCAGCCCATCAGGCTCCTCCATCCACAGGATTCTCCAGGCAAGAATACCGGTTGCCATTTCCTTCTCCTAGCTAATGGCATGTCCTAAAAATTGGCTTTGGGACAGTGATTCTCCCAGCTGTTCTGGAGAGGCCATATGACTAGCTCCATCCATTCCATTTAAACACAAAACAGATAATAAAGTGAATTTTAAAGTGCCTTTTGATTGGTGGTATTTTTAAGAAAATCTCAAGAATTTAGATGGGTGCTGGTACATGCAAAACACAGGGGATTAACTATAGGAAAATCCTAGGCAACCAAGGTTAGTTGGTTGCCTATCTAGAGTAACCAAATAAAACAAAGTTATTTAACAATATTGAAGAGAATTGAGTCCAAACATTCAGTACATATCTTTTTGCCTTTTCATACTGTTCGTGGGGTTCTCAAGGCAAGAATACTGAAGTGGTTTGCCATTCCCTTCTCCAATGGACTACATTCTGTCATTGGAAAAGCCCCTGATACTGGGAAAGATTGAAGGCAGGCGGAGAAGGGGACGACAGAGGATGAGATGGTTGGATGGCATCACCGACTCAATGGACATGAATTTGGGCAAACTCCAGGAGTTGGTGATGGACAGGGAAGCCTGGCGTGCTGTAGTCCATGGGGTCGCAAAGAGTTGGACATGACTGAGTGACTGAACTGATTTAGTACATATAATAAGAAAAGAAACAGACCCAGGGGACTTCCCTGGTGGTTCAATGGTTAAGAATCTGCCTTCCAATGCAGGGAGTGCAGGTTAGATCCCTGATTGAGGAACTAAGATCACATGTGCAGCAAGGCAACTAAGCCCACGCACCACAACAAAGAGCCTGCGTGCTGCAACTAAGACCCGAAGCAGCCAAAATATTTTTGAAAAAGAAAGAAAGAAACAGAATCACATACAAAGAACCAACCAGTGGTTACCAATGAAGAAGGGAAAGGGGGGAAGATAAGGGTAGGAGATTAAGAGTACAAACTTCTGTGTATAAAATAAAGCTAAAAGGATATATAGTATAAACAGGGAATATAGCCAACATTTTATAATAACTATAAATGGACTATAACATTTAAAAATTGTTTATCACTTTGCTGTACACCTGAAACATTATATAAATATTGCATGCCAACTACACCTCAGGTAAAAAGCTTAATACATTCAGAAGTTCCAAAAGCCAGATAAATATTGTATCAGCAAAAAAAATTAAAGAACTTGCCCCAAAAGTGGGCAAGTTACCCTCTGAATCTTAGTTCCTTCATCCATAAAATGGGGACTGTAAGAGTAATTTCTTACAGCAGTGTTGAGGGGATTAAATGTGAAATGTGTATAAAGTACTCAACATAGGACCTAGCACATTTTACGCACTCACTATTTATTATTATTAATATCACCATTACTAATAGCAGAAACTTGTTCAACTTTTTTGGAGATCAATTTGGCAATAAGTATTAAAAAGCCTGAAAAGTAGTGTATACCCTTTAACCTAGTAATTCTAGAGATCCAGGAGTTTTCATATAAAAGCATTAGATCAAAACTTATAAATACTGAATAGGGACTTGGTGATCTAAAATTATAGTAAAATCAAGACAAGACTGTACAGCTATTTAAAACAATGGAGACTAAATATTAAGGGCAGAAACTATTCAAAATATAGTGCTGAGTGAAGAAAGCTATAAACAATATGCCATACTTTTTTGAAACAGTATACAAACACACAAACACCTGGAAGGTCATAAACTGAAATGTGAACAGTTTATCTTGGGTGGTAGAATTATTTGGGACATCTTTTATCCTATATTTCCCACATTTTTTGCAATACCATCACCATCCCTTACCAACACTGAGAATCTGTTAAGACAATGTTCTAAGAATTTTACTCCCATCTCATTTAATCGTCACAAAAAGACTCTGAAAAACATATATGCTCAATCACGTCCGACTCTTTGAGACCCCCATGGACTGTAGCCTGCCAGGCTTCTTTGTCCATGCGATTTTCCACGCAAGAATACTGGAGTGGGTTGCTATTTCCCCCTCCAAGGGTTCTTCCCAACCCAGGGATGGAATCTGAGTCTCCTGCATTGGCAGCTGGATTCTCTACCACTGAGCCACCTGGGAAGGCCAAATTTATTATTTTATAGTTTTATAGAGCCATTCCCTTCTCCAGGGGATCTTCCTGACCCAGGGATCAAACCTAGGTCTCCCATATTGCAGGCAGATTCTTTACTGTCTGAGCCACACCACCACTCTGGGTAGATAATATTTTACAGGTGAGATTACTGAGGCAAAAAAAGGCTTAGGATTCAAATCCAGCTTCTCTGATTCCAGAGCCTGAGCCTTCAACCTCTCTCATAGCTATTTGTGTGCCATACACCCACATATGTTATGCATGTTTCTCCTTAAAAACTGGACAGCAGGAACTCCCTGCTGGCACAGTGGTTAAGAGATTCTGCCTGCCAATGCAGGGGACATGGGTTTGATCCCTCTTAGGAAGATTTCACACACCACGAGGCAACTAAGCCCATGTGCCACAACTACTGAGCCCATGTTCTACAGCCCGGGAGCTGCAACTACTGAGTCTATGTGCCCCAACTACTGAAGTCCTTCTCAAGACAAGCCACCATAATGAGAAGTCTGTTCACAGCAATGAAGAGTACTGCGCCCCCTCCCCTGCCAACTACTACTCATTGCAAATAGAAAAAGCCCACTCACAGCAAGGAAGACCTAGTGCAACCAAAAATTAATTAATTAAAAAAAAAACTGGACAACAAAGGATGATCCTGACTTCAGGAGAAAACTACTCAAGAGAGCATCAACCCCTGAGATTGTGCCAAATTGCAGCAAAACAGTCTCATCTGAGGATGGGCTATGCAGTTCACCATCTGATGACCCATAGCACCCACTGTGCGTAGGTGCTATCCTGTCCATGACCTTTAGATCCCAGAGTCAGGGCAGCAATTACCACTTCTGCAGTGCAGAAAAGCCAAAGGCTGGGGGAGGGAGGTGAGGGGAAGCTCCATAGGCAACATATTCGATTATGTTCAATGAAGATTTCAGAACATCTAAGGAGCCAAAAAGCTAATGATTAAGCCAGAAACAAGGCAACCTACCAGTCAGCAATTTTCCACATTGGGCTTAATCTTATCCAATGCTTCCAAGCATGTTACTGTCTGGTTATTTAAAAATGTAATCAGCCTTTTAGCTCAGGGAAGTAGATTGGGACTCCAGATAATTTTAGAGAAATCAATCAGTAGACCACTAAATTGTTCTCCTCCTCCCCTCTCCCAATTTATCCTCAGGTTGTGATGTGCTGCACTAGGCAGAGGGTGCACAGGGAAAATAAAGTCTTTGTATTTTTCCTGGAAGCATAGAAAAAAGATTTACTAGTCACAGTTCTCTAGGGAACAAAAAAAAACCCTCCAAATGAAAATCATTCTGGTCCCCTAGCTATACTGCCACTTGCAAAGTCTGGTCCTGTTTTATTACAGCCCGTGAGTCATAATGGTGTGGTTAAAGCTAAAGACAGCAGCTTCGCTAGCCTTTTGACTAAGGTATTGTCTGGTTACAGATGGCATCAGGGCTTACACCATCATTTGCATCACAACCAATGGCATGATGATCAAGCATCCAGAAGGAAGCTGTCCACTACAGATGAATGCTTTTACCAGTAGGGTCTACAAAGGACAGGGGAAGTTACACTTTGGGAAGAGAAAAGGAAAACAAAAGCACTTAGGAAAAAATGTTCAAGGCAATCTTCACTTATTTAACTGACTCATTAGGTTTGGTGTAAACTTTCCCCTTAATAGAGGACTGACTGTGGGTACTGCTCTGATTTGATCAACAGGGTAACAACAAAACACAGAAAAACACTTATCAGAACCAGAAGATTCTAGATTTAGATGGAAGTGGTACTGAAAGGATTTGGTGACCAAGTTATCTCCAAGATGGCCCCAAGGTTCAGGAGCATGGTGGAAGTGGGGGGAGGGAGCAAGTTTAATCAGCAAAGCAATGAAAAAAATTCATTGCAATGAACTATGCATTTCCAGCCTTCCACTCCATTATCTTTCTTCTATTATCTTAATATTCAGGGATAAAAATGTTTCTTAAATCCCCCACACAACATTAGAAGTGGGTAATTTCAGGATAGACTTTGGTACTGAAAAATATGCTTTTGCACTGTTTTACCAACAGCTACGCTTGGGAAGATCAAGGATTCCAGAATTAAGGTTCCCTATTATTTTCTGGATGGCTCAAACCAAGATGCTGGCAATCGGGATGCAGTTAATGTATCATTTTATTCAAGCGACTAGACTTTACTTCGAGTTTAAAGATGTGAAAATTCAACACTTGCCAATCTAAGGAAGTCCTCAGTATTAATTTTGGCGCCCTCAGCATATAATGTCAAGTTTCCTCAACAGGAAATCCGACCAACACGGTTTTGCATTGAAAAGCTGCTTCTCAGACACTAGGAGAAACACCACGAGGGCTCAGTACGCAGTAGGATCTCCCAGGCGAGCCGGTCTAAGAGCAGAAGAGAACCCAGTCTGGATGGCTCAACAGCTAGGCGGCAAAGCCACGTGTCCCCACCGCGGAGCCTAGGCGTTTTCCCCCTCTAGCCGCTCTAGGAAGCTACCATCCCCGCGTTGGGTCCTCTGGCCCTTGGCTTCAAACACAGTAGCTAAGCCTCCTGCTCCATCTTGACTCCACCCCACCGCACGGTGAGAATGAGCGTGACCCTCCCGCGAGAGGTAAAATAACGGAAACAGCCCGTGAGGTACGCTCGTCACAGAGCTGCCCCTTCCCCCCCAAACCCGGCCCTTTGGAACTCACACTGTGACCTCACCGCCCCCCCCAACCCTCGGTTGCCCTGGCCTCTCCGGCAGGTGAGGCCGGTCGGCGTCCCAACTTTATCCTCACCAGGTCTCCTGGTTGCTGAATTTCTTAGTCACCACCTTGCCCAGTTCCAGGCCCAGGCGGTCGGCAATCTTCTGGGATAGGTCCTGGTGGGAGCTGCCACTGAAGATTTTGATATTCGGCATCTTGGCCAAGTACCCTAGGCTCTCTTTGCTTAACGATCACTGCTGCTGCCGCCGAGACCCGAACCGAGTCGGCCCAGAGTCTCAGTACTAAGCACTGGCGTTTCTACTCCGCCATCTTACATTCCCGCCCGGTGCGCGGCTCTAAATTGCCCAGCGCCGGGTAGGCGGAGTCAGCGGGGAAGTTAACACCCATCCATCTCCGATTGGCTGAGCGCTATCGGGGGGCGGGTCCTCATTGTAGTTCCGCCTACCCCCGACTGTCTCGAGGATTGACTGGAGGTCCTGAAGGGGGCGAGGCTAACGAATCGCCCCGCCCCCTGTAGCGAGGCAGTTGGGGAGGGCTGAACGCCTAGAAGCCCGGCTTTGGATGGGGGTGGGAGGATGCTGGTGACGCGTAGGGCCAGATCTTTCTTGCAAGCGGGAAGTCAGCCACGCTTTTTTTTTTTCCTTCAGCACCTGAAAGTAAGCCTGGCTCTGGTTTACAGTTCCTTTTTCTTTTCTTTTTTACAGTTTCTTTTAAAAAATATCTATTTCTCAGGATGGCAGCCACAGTTCATGCAAACATGAGTTTGCATGTTTCTGAACATGATTTTTATCTTTTTGTAAGGATGGGGCTGAACTTAAAGCACGATTGCAACACAGGCAGACGCCCATAGCACAGGCTCATCCAAAGGGCAAACCGGTAATTTCACTATCCCTTTTGCCTGATAGACAAGTCCCAAGGGGAAAGTGACTGAGGGCAAGCTACCTGAGTCATCCAGGGACATTGCAAGAGAAGTCACATTTCGTTTTTAGCACTGGGACCAAGTAAGTTCAAACAGGTGCTGGCATATGGATTTCCCACAATATCTGGGTGATAAAGGGTCTTATTTATCTGACCCTTGGAAAGGAAAGAAAGTACTTACAGGACTTCAGATAAGGAGCCCGGAAGGAGTCAGAAAACCTAGTTTTTGGTCCTGTCTGATGTTATCCTCAGCATCATATTCTACCTGTTGCTAATCTGTTCTTTTACACCACTATTTTATTACTTTTATGATGATACCAGCTAATTAGACCAAAGAGAGCCTTTATTCTCACACCACATTTTCATTAAACATATCCCAACCATGGGTTAGAAGTAAGACAAAAATCGTGTAATTTTAGAATCATACAATTTTAGTTAGAGGTGCCATAATGCTCATAACTACAAGCTGTAAAAATAGAAGGGACTTCAGAAATCATCTAGCCTACCAGCTTCATTTTACGTATGGTTGAACTGGAGACCAGAGATGGAAAGGAATTTGTCCAAGTGGCAAAGGCAAAAAATATTTCAAGCAGCACCCTAGCTCTCTCTTCCTGCCATTTTCAGCAGTGCCCACAGAGGACCTCTCCTTCTGACCTTTTGTTATAATTTTATGAGTTCAGAAATTCAATATTAGCCCAGGTGTATAGGAATACTTGAAGAAGGAAGTAGACTACAGGCAGAATATTAGTAATGTTCCATCACAATTCATTCACCAAATATTTACTGAGTGCTTCATTGCATACAAGGCAGTATACTAGGCATTGAGGGGACTATAAAGTATTTGCCTCCAGGGAATTTGTTCATTCAATATTTATTGAAATTTTTTATTGAATTCTTCTAATTTACCAGGCCTTCTCTGGGCACCGAGAATACAGAAACCCCTGCTCTCATAGAGTTTACATTCTCAAACAATAAACATGTAAATGAAGAAATTGTGTAATATATCAAGTGGTGATAAACCATTTGGAGAAAAACCAGGGGAAATGTACCATGGTGGTTGTGGAGGGAAGGGGGAGTCTAATTTTAAGTAGGGGAGTCAGAGAAGGCCTATCTGGGAAGGTGACATTTGAGCAAAGACCTCACGGAGATAAAGGAATAAGCCATGTTGATATCTGGGACAAGCAGAGGGCATAGCAAAAACTCTAGGGAAGGAGTGCACCTAACTTGTTCACAGACTAGTAAGGAGGTTGATGTGTCTGCTACAGTGAATATTGGGACCACAGGGGTGGAGCACACCTGTAAGAGAAAATAAGATCAGTGAGATAAGAGTGATTGGTGGGAAGATGTCAACCATGTAGGACCGTGAAGATCATTTAAAGGATTTTTGCTATTACTGAGTAAGGGTTTTTACCAAAGAATGACATGAGCTGACTTCTCTCTTAAAAGGAATAGCGTGTAAGCAACTAGATAAGAAGCAAAGAGACCAGTTAGGAGATGACTTCCTAGTAAAGAAGATGAGACATTTATACAAATATTTATATAAGTCACAATACAATTTAATACACTACCTTACAGAACTCTGTGTTTGGGTAAAGGGCAAGCTGCTGTAACATAGACCCTAAAGCACAGTGGCTCAAAGAACACAGACTATTTCTCTCTTGTATAACATGCTCCCAGGCCAATGGGACCATTCTGCTCCAAGCTAGGTCATGAGCACATCCACCTTCCAGTCTGTGGGAAGGAGGAAAGAGAAGAGGTCCAGAGAAGGGATTTATTTTTAATCACATCATGTGGAATTTCCCAGATGGTGCTAGTGGTAAAGAACCCGAGTGCCAATGCAGTAGACGTAAGAGACACAAGTTTGATCCCTGGGTTGGGAAGATCCCCTGGAGGAGGGCATGGCAACTCACTCCATATTCTTGCCTGGAGAATCCCATGGACAGAGGAGTCTGGTGGGCTACAGTCTCTGGGGTTGCAAAGAGTCAGACTTGACTGAAGGGCCGTGGAAATTGCTCATTTCATTTTCCATCACATCCCTTTGAGCTTAGTCACATGGCAAGAGCTTAGTTGCAAGTCACACCTACCTGCAAGAAAGACTGTGAAATGTCTTGTACTCAGGATGAAGAGGAAAAAGGGATTTTGGAGGTACAACTAGACATCCAACCCAAACAAAGTGATAACACAGACTCAGTGGTAAAAAATGTCTCCTCTACCTGGGATATTCTGAGTTTTTCAGTGAAAGCACATGAGCTAGGCCTTGAAGGATGGGCAGGGTTTTGGCAGTGATGAAATAAAATTCATATTTTGTGTCAAGACAAAATTCTTTTCTGCCCATCTGGGCCTCCTCCTTCCCTTTTAGTGTGTATTATTATTATTATTAACCAGGCCTCTCTAGAAGATAAACTTCCTTCTCATTCTTGTGATGGGTCATGATGACCCACTACTCACTTTGTATGCACAGATCAGGATTATGTAAGCTGTCAGTCAAACTGTGATTTGATGTCTCAGGGAGGCTTGGCGTGCTGCAGTCCATGGGATTGCAAACAGTCAGCTATGACTGGGTGACTGAAAGTGAAGTCGCTCAGTCATGTCCAACTCTTTGCGACACCATGAACTGTAGTCTTCCAGCCTCCTCCATCCATGGGATTTTCCAGGCAAGAATGCTGGAGTGGGTTGCCATGTCCTTCTCCAGGGGATCTTCCTGACCCAGGGATTGAACCTGGGTCTCGTACATTGCAGGCAGACTCTTTACCATCTGAGCCACCAGGGAATCCCTGACTGGGCAACTGAACAACAACAAATGTCTCAAAAACTTATGTAACTGTGCTTTGACCTCTGATGGGCAGAACAGTCCTCAGTGCTGTCTGAAAGACTGTCTTTCAGATTACAATCCTCAGGTTGGCTTCAATAAAATTTTTCATTCTTTCTTAGATCGACTGTTGATTAATTTTTTTGCTGACAGCAGGCAATGATTGGGAGGAGGTGGTTCTCCCCTGAGAGGAAGAAAATGTGAGGAAGTAGAGGTGTTGAGGAAAGGTAAGTAAGCTGCCTTGACTGGCATATCAGGTACCATATTGGTTTTATTCTGCAGGTGATGGGAAGCCATTTACTATTCTGGAATAAGGGAATGACATGATCATAATTGTACTTTTGACAAATTTAACTGTGTAGGTTAATAATAGGGAAGAGAAGATCGGAGGCAGGCAAACCAGCTTGGGAGGGTAAGTTAGTAATGTCCTTAATTGGGCCAGTAGCTGTAGGGTATAAGAAGAGGGATGGGAGATATAAATCTCAACCTTTTGGATGTCATGGACCCCTTGGAGAAATTTATGAACACAAGGAGTCTTCTCTCCATATACATGATCAAGGAACCCTGGGCTCATTGGATTAGAATTAATAATGATCCCATTAGGGCAAAAACTAAGTCACCTAATCAGAGAATTCCAGAATATAAATGTGTGTGGGGAAAATGCTGTTATCTTTATTCAATTTTTCTCTCTCTAGAAAGGTAAACAACTTTAGGGCATGGGGGATGGGAGTCTTAGTCCTTATCTTAGGTAAGGTAATCCTGAGGAGAAAGTTTAAAGGAGACTTGAATTAAAGTCATCTAGGAAAAAATGTCCACAGATCTTTAGGGATGGGTGAACATGGACAAATTTGCTGTTCAGTTGTTCAGTCATGTCTGACTCTTTGTGACCCCATGGACACAGCATGCCAGGCTTCCCTGAATTTTCTCAAACTCATGTCCATTGAGTCAGTGATGCCACCCAACCGTCTCATCCTCTGCCACCCTCTTTTCCTCCTGCTTTCAATCTTTCCCAGCATGAGTCTTCTCCAATGAGTTGACTCTTCACATCAGGTGGCCAAAGTATTGGAGCTTCAGCATCAATATTCAGAGTTGATTTCCTTTAGGATTGACTGGTTTGATCTCCTTGCTGTCCAAGGGACTCTCAAGAGTCTTCTCCAGCACCCAGTTCTAAAGCATCAGTCAAAGGTGCTCAGCCTTCTTTATGGTCCAGCTCTCATATCCGTGCATGACTACTGGAAATTAGGTCATCAGAATAGGAATAATACGTGTGAGGCTGGCATAAGGATTCTAAAATATGAAATTTAGAAAAGAGTGTCCTGAGTTATATGTAAATGGTGATGAGTTCTATAAGTTTGATATTATTCCAAAGAAATATGATGAGATCCTTCTATATGTCAAGGCTTCTATGTGGAGGGCAGAAATGCAAACAGTACACAATCTTTTCTTCCTAGCATGCAAGACAGATAC